AACTGTAGGCAATGTGCACAAGTTCTAAATCCTAAGACATGTTGGCTCCTTTACTCTGCCCAAACTACAAATCAAAATCAAACACCTGTAATATAATAACATCCAATGAAGTTCTGACACTTCTTTAACATGACTACACTAATTCAATGCCAGAAAATTAATTTTATTTTGAAATCTACATGCCATATTCCAATTTCTGTTTAAGGTGCAATGGTTATATTTATCCTTTTTAATATAGATTTATCAGGCTGGGCGCGGTGGCTCACACCTGTAATCCTAGCACTTTGAGAGGCTGAGGTGGGTAAATCACCTGAGGTCAGGAGTTTGAGAGCAGGCTGGTGAACATGGTGAAACCTGTCTGCAGTATAAATACAAAAATTAGCTGGGCATGGTGGTGCATGCCTGTAGTCCCAGTTACTAGGGAGGCTGAGGTAGGAGAATTGCTTGAACCTGGGAGCACGAGGTTGCAATGAGTGGAAATCGCACCAATATACTCCAGCCTGGGCGACAGAGCAAAATAATAAATACATAAATAAAATAGATTTATCAGTTTATCAATAATATAGTTTTTTTTCTAGGTGTAAATATAGGTAATGACTGCCTTTTAGTACATTTTCTCATGATGCTCCTCTTACTTGGTTTGGTACAATATTAAGTATTGAAATAGAGAATCTTGTCGCTACATATGAACCCTTATTCCATTTGCTCATCTCCAATACACATGGGAAATTCTCAAATTGCTAATAATCTTATGATACACATGATCTTATGATACATATTTAACAGGAATATATAAATTTATAATTATAATTTAGGATCAACAGATGGCAAACCTTTAGAAGGTTTGTATTTAACCTTAAAATACAATTTTTAAAAATTGGTTATAAAATTTCTAATACTTTCTTTTTTGTGACCTCAAGGGGAAAATATAATTCTTATAAAAAAGAGTTCAAATGCTTTACAGAATACAAAAAGTAAATAGAGATGATGGATGAATTAAAGGAAAGGATATTGCTCCATAGATTATTTGGAAATTTAAAAAGGGAAATTACAACTGCTGATTTTGTGTTAAACTGATCTGCTTTGTTCAGGATATCTTATGTACCAAAAAATGATTTTATCTCAGCCTCACATCTCAGTAAATTCCTGAGATAAACTTTTGTCCCTGGTGCCTTTGGTAATTGGGAGACCTCTAGGTTTAGCATTCTCATCCACTCGCCCCAATTTAAATAGTCCTCCCCAGGGCCATTCAGGCAAGGTAGATGAAAACTTGCTCAAGAGTTGGAATCCAATTTAAGCTACCGAAATTCACTGCTCAATAGAGAATTTTCCCCAGAAGTAACTAGGGCTTTTGGATATAATAGTGGCTTTTCAAAGTAGAACGTAAAGTATTTCCAAGATAAGGAGACAGGACAGAGCTATGAGGAATGTCCTTTGTTTAGGGAGTAGGCCCTTAGCAGTACCTCTTAGGTATGAACTGGTTAACTGGCACCTTCTGTTTCTCTGAAGTTTCCAGAACAAACTGCCAATGCAATTTGGATTTTCAGAGTAGATTTTTTTTGTTGTTGTTACTACTTTTTTTTTTTTCTTGGAGACAGTCTCACTCTGTCGTCCAGGTTGGAGTGCTAGAGTGCAGTGGTGCCATCTCGGCTCACTGCAACCTCCCCCTCCTATGTTCAAGTGATTCTCTTGCCTCAGTCTCCCGAGTAGCTGGGACTATAGGCGTGCACCAGCATGCCCAGCTAATTTTTGTATTTTTTTAGAGATGGGGTTGGTTTTTTTTATTGAGATGGAGTTTCACTTTGTCGCCCAGGCTGCAGTGCAGTGGCATGATCTTGGCTCACTAAAACCTCCACCTACCGGGTTCAAGTGATTCTTCTGCCTCAGCCTCCTGAGTAGCTGGGACTACAGGCACCTACAGGTGAACCCCACCATGCCTGACTAATTTGTGTAGTTTTATTAGAGACAGGGTTTCGCCATGTTGGTCTTGAACTCCTGACCTCAGGTGATCTACCCACCTCAGCCTCCCCAAGTGCTGGGATTACAGATGTGAGACACCATACCTGCCTTAGAAGACATTTTCTATTGGAAAGAGAAAACACGATTAGCAACCTATTAGTGTTTAATACTTAATGTCTTCCTTAGTAATAAACTAAGTCTAGAACAAAGTGCTTCCTGGCTGCCTAGTCATTGATTCATTCGGTTCCACATTTTCTTAATGCCCAACCACCAAGTGTCTCTTGTATGCCGAGTTCTATGCTGATTATCAGTAATTGAATAAGAGGGGGTCTAGATCTTAAGTATTGCTTAAGATGAAAGCCTCTAGGTTAACAAACTTAACACAATGTTTCACTACTAAACAGACCAAATACAAAATCTTGTTATTGGTCACCAGAGAGAATTGAAATTCAAGTTTTCTCCCTCCTTTTCTCACTCACCACAATAAGTCAGTTGCGTCAAGTCCTGTAGCTCTTTACTGAGCCATCTTCTCACCTGTCCCCTTGTTTCATTTGTCACACCCTAAATAAAAATTGTACTGGCTTTTTTTTTTCCCTGGATTTACAGTGTTGATACATTGTCAAGATTTACCTCTTCATGTAGATTCCCTGGGGAAAATTACCTTTCCTCCTTCCCTTAAATTCTTCAGAGAGGTTAGAAAGCCATTAGTAACATTCTGGTATGTGGACAAAGTTTACCCATTATGTATGGATGTTTTACTCTTTTTATTTTTCTGACAATAATCTCTTAAGGAGGTGTGGTTATAGAATAGCCAGCTGTTGTAAGTACTGTTTTTCTGGCCTTGGAACTTTTTTAAAGCTGTTTCTTAGTTTGCTCATCTCAAAATTCGGAATAAGGATAAAATCTATTTCTAAGATTGTTGGATTAAATGAATTAACATACTGGAAGCTCATGAAATTTGCCTGGCACACAGTAGTGCCTAATAAACCATCTCTCTTATTTAGCCTGTTGTCTGATTTCAGAATCTACACTTGCTGAGCCAGATTCTTTTCATTTCAAGGTGAGCAAAAGCATGCAAGGAAGAGGAGGAGGCAGGAAGAAATTAAGCCCTAGGCCAAGGTCACACACCGATTGGGAGCTGGAATCAAAGGCAATTTGGCCTGGCAATGAAAAGGATTCCAAGGCCCATATAAAGCAGTTCCAACCTTAAGATCCAAATTCTCGGACATACAGGAAATGCTAGGGGGAAAAATCCGGTCCTCTCAGCCCAAGAGCCATATGAAACCAGACCTTCCTCAAATCTGATGACTCTCAGCCCAACTGCCCATTAGAATCGTTGTAATTTAAAAATATCCTCGGAAAATTCTAACGTGGCTATCAAAGGTGATCACTTGCTTCTATGCTACTTTGTTTTCTCCCAAACGGGACATCCAACCCTTTTCCTTTGAGGGTAGTTGTAGGGAAAGGAGTGGGTGGAAGGAGGAAAGAGCGGAAAAGGCTGGACCCGCCCCAAGCTGGTGTCAGTATCTGGGAAGTGGGAGGAGCGTCAGCAGTAAACAGCCTCTGCTTGGATTATTATCTCCTGCCCACACACTCAGATTTGAAGGCTCGAAACAAAAAATGCAAAACGTTTCAGTGGAATTCCAGAAGCGTTCGACTAAACGACTGGGGTCTGTTTGGCCAGTCTGAGGAGCTGGGCGCTGAGGCGTAGGCAAGACTCAGCCCGCCTAGACTTCCCTGCCCACTTAATTCCGATCAAAGCAGAAACCGGCCCGGCGCGGTGGCTCACGCCTGTAATTCCAGCACTTTGGGAGGCAGAGGCCGGCGGATCACCTGAAGTCAGGAGACCAGCCCAGCTAACATGGTGAAACTCCGTTTCTACTAGTGGCGGGCGTCTGTAATCCCATCTACTAGGCAGGCTGAGGCTGAGGCAGGAGAGTCGTCTGAAACCGTGAGGCGGAGTTTGCATGCCGTGAGCCAAGATCGCGCCACTGCACTCCAGCTTGGGCAACAAGAGCAAAACTCCATTTCAAAAAAGCAAACAGATTTCAAAAAGCGCAGAAACCGAGATCCGGAAGAAAACCTCGGCGAGACTCAGAATCCAGGAAAACAGGTCCCTAGAAATTTGCCCACGGTCCCAGATCTCCATTTCTTGTGGGTGGGGCAGCTGTTACCAGACAGAAGCAAAGGTTTTCTTTTTTGGAGACGGTGTCTCACTCTGTTGCCCAAGCTGGATGACAGTGGCACGGTCTCGGCCTACTGCAGCCTCCCCCTCCCTCCCACCTCAAGCGACTGTCCTGAGTCAGACTCAAGAGTAGCTGCAATTGAAAGGTATGTGCCACCACGCCCGACTAGTTTTTGTCAATTTTTTTTAGAGACGAGTTTCATCATGTTGGCCAGGATAGCGTCGAACTCGTGACCTCAGGTGATCCGCGCCCCTCGGCCTCCCAAAGTGCTAGGATTAGAGAGGTGAGCAGAAAGCAAAGGTTTTTGAGTGGCCACAGGCCCCAGTCTCCTTTTTTGGCTGTCCTGGAAACCTAGACGCTTGAGTCTCTTAAAATAAAACAGCACGTTGCGTGTCAGGCATCGTTCTAGAGTAGAGACATTAGTCTGTTTTTTAGACACCTTTCAACTTCCTGGTTAACTTTTAGACAGTATACTCTGCACTTTAGCAGGAATGGAACCTAGAAGTTTAACAGAATTAAGAAAATGAGGCTGCCTACAGCCTAAATTGAGAACAAAATAGAAGGGGGACTAGTCGGAGGGCCGAACGAGGTTACCGTCACGCTACAGTTTTGCCTTGAATTTACATTTTAAAAGCAATCAGTTTTTTAGATCACCAGGTATCCCTAGAATGTAAACTAATTAGGCACCAACTATGGTCGATCTTACAAAACACTAGACTAGATAGTTAGAATATAATGATAGCACATACGAACATTAGATCCTAACTGACCTAATAGACCAACCTTTAGTAACACCGTTCCCCAAAAAACTGAAAAGAATACACGTTGCTCCAGACTGAGGTAAAATTAACTTACCTTAGTGCTTTTTTCCCTCGTACGTACAAGCAGTGAGGTTAGCTCTTCCTCTGAAACGGTAGGGGGGCTCTGAAAAGAGCCTTTGGGTTTGATAGCGTTTCACGGAAGCTCAGATGCCTGTCAAATCACTTGCCCTTAGCCTTGTGGTGACTCTCGGTTTTCTTAGGCAAAAGCACGGCCTGGATATTAGGAAGGACGCCGCCCTGAGCAATTGTCACCCGGCCTAGCAGCTTGTTGAGCTCCTCGTCGTTACGGATGGCCAGCTGCAAGTGGCGCGGGATGATGCGGGTCTTCTTGTTGTCGCGAGCCGCGTTGCCGGCCAGCTCCAGGATCTCGGCAGTCAGGTACTCCAACACAGCCGCCAGGTACACCGGCGCGCCTGCCCCTACCCGCTCTGCGTAATTGCCTTTGCGGAGCAGGCGGTGCACTCGGCCCACCGGGAACTGGAGACCAGCACGAGAAGAGCGAGATTTCGCTTTGGCGCGAGCTTTGCCTCCCTGCTTACCGCGTCCAGACATCTCAATAACACAAAACAGCACCAAAACAAGCAGTCCAAGCTCAGGAGAAAACAAACAAAATCGAAAAATGTGTAAAACATGGCTGCTTTTATAGGTAGTTGCTGGGGAGTAAATCCGACTTTTCGATTGGTCGGTAGCAAATACTAGTCAGGTAGCCAATAGAAAAGCTGCACTTTCATACCTCATTTGCATAGCTCGGCCCACGGATGACAACTCTGCAGTTTGTCTTCCAATTAACTAAGAGGTACTCTCCATCCCTCATTAGCATAAAAGCCCTATAAGTAGCAGAAATCCGTTGTTTACTTCCGACACATTTCTGGTGTTAAAGATGCCTGAGCCAGCCAAGTCTGCTCCCGCCCCGAAGAAGGGCTCCAAGAAGGCGGTGACCAAGGCGCAGAAAAAAGATGGGAAAAAGCGCAAGCGCAGCCGCAAGGAGAGCTACTCTGTTTATGTGTACAAGGTGCTGAAGCAGGTCCACCCCGACACTGGCATCTCTTCCAAGGCGATGGGGATCATGAATTCTTTCGTTAACGACATATTTGAGCGTATCGCGGGGGAGGCTTCCCGCCTGGCGCATTACAACAAGCGCTCGACCATCACCTCCAGGGAGATACAGACTGCCGTGCGCCTGCTCCTTCCCGGAGAGCTGGCGAAGCACGCCGTGTCGGAGGGCACCAAGGCCGTCACCAAGTACACCAGCTCCAAGTAAACTTTTCAAGTAAGCGTCTTAACACTTAACCCCAAAGGCTCTTTTAAGAGCCACCCACATACCCACTAAAAGAGCTGTGGCCTGACGCCAAAGTTTTATTTGGCGGCGGAAGAGTATTAGGGATTGGAGAAGGGTGGGGACAAGTTCTAGGGGCCTGAGCCTGGAAGAAACCAGCCACTAAAAATGGGTTTGGGGTCAATTCGTTGCGCTTAAATTTAAAATGGAGACAAGCGGCCATTTTGCTAACCCCGCGTTCCCGGAAGAAACTTCAGGCTCGCGTGGGTTTCGGACCCAGTTGTCTGTCCCTGTTTACGTCGCCTGGATCAACGGCTGCCGTAAAGTCATAATTTCGACATCAGTTTCTAGCCAATAGGCTGTCCTGTCATTTTTAATATTAACCAATCGAGAGAAAGCTGGTTTGAAGCCCTTATTTACATAGCGGACCGGAGTGGAAACCTGGGGAGTAACTGGCTAAGGAAGGACACCCACTCTGTTTTCGTGGCGCACACCTTCGTAATATACTGAAGGCTGTGTCTCCTTGGTTTCCAACTGCCCCGGTAATAAAGTCCTTTAACATAATACGTGTCGGTTTTGATAAGAGTAAGGCAGTAAGAACCTAAAGATGTAAGCACCGCGCCAGATGTTGCTTCATACATTTTATTCTATTCAACTGGTTTATTCAAGATTCAAACCAAATTTTACTTGAATCCCAGTGCTCAGCCATAAATGGTGTGTTGCCTGATTGAAACTTAAAATCTCTGTAGGGGGCTTGTAACATGCAGAAAAGGTTGAAAGTTGCTTTAGAAGAAGCCAACTCTAACTTGGGTAAATTGACAAGCATTCGAACACTGAACTGAAGGCCAGTAAGGACTAGGCGCTGGTTGGGAGAATGAAGAGGAGACGCCATTAAACTTAGCACATACACTGTGTCTCCTAGAAGACCTTCCCTTCCTAGACAACTGCAGGCCGCTTTATGGCCTGGGAAATACCACATTCCCTTAAGTATTTTACTCATGGTCTTTTCCAGGCAAAGATTTTAAGATGAAAGTTTAGAAGTAGTTTACCTATCTTTTTATTCAAGTCTAGAACACGTTTGTAGCACCTTGAAGTGAAGTTTGCTTTCTCCATTAAAAACTGGGAATATACAATAAATAAAATTAGTGTTAAAGCAGATTTTTACAAATTTAAATACCGTGTAATTTAGGTTACAAAGTTATTTAACTAAGGACTGTGTGATCTTAAATCTGCAATTTCTTTCACAACTGGAAAATAAACTAAGGCCTCTCTTTGGTGTCAGACAAGGTCTTATAGTTGAACCCTGCTGTGCAATCACAGGCTGCCTTGCCTAGATAACTTATCTGAGAAATTCTGATGAGAAATGAAATTTCCGGAGTCCCTCACAAGTAAATTTTCTTCTTCTTCTTTTTTTTTTTTTTTTTGAGACGGAGTTTCGCTCTTATTGCCCAGGTTGGAGTGCAATGGCGCGATCTTGGCTCACAGCAACCTCCACCTCCCGGGTTCAAGCCATTCTCCTGCCTCAGCCTCCGGAGTAGCTGGGATTACAGGCATGCGCCACCACACCGGGCTAATTTTGTATTTTTACTAGAGACGAGGTTCCTCCATGTTGGTGAGGCTGGTCTCGAACTCAGGACGTCAGGTGATCCGCCCACCTTGGCCTCCGGAAGTTCTGGGATTACAGGTGTGAGTCCCCGCGCCGTACCTAAATTTTTTTTTTTATGCCTCTAATGGACCTGGTCAAAGACCTATTCACATTCAGACTGACCTCTCTTCTACCTGTCAACTAACTAATCAGTGTAACCAAAATCTGCAAGCAAAATTCAGTATTCCCAAGCTGATTCTTTCCCCGCCTTTTCCCCTTTCTCTTACGTAAATTATGTTTTTGCCTGTGTTAGATGAAATAATTCTATTGCTTGTTCTCTCTTCTGTACAAGTACACAGTAAGCAAATCATTAACTTCTTGGTCATTTATTTCTGAATTTTCCACCAAGACAGTGTTTATGTGAGTCATACAATAAGAACCAACAGAAATGTGTGTCGTGGAAACATCTTGTCTAGCCCTGAACCCTTTGAGTTTTCTGTTCACATTCCTTTGGCTTTTGCATCCTGAAAGTTTATCGTCCGCGATAAACTTTGGTTATTCTATTTGAACTTGGCTGATTGGTTGCATATTGGTAGCAGTAGTAGAATTTGAATTATGGTTTTCTGGTCACATCATTAAGTGATTAGTCAGTGGAGAGGACAGGAAATCTGGTTGATTTATTAACCTTTTCTTGGGGTGTTTTTGTTTGAAGATGTCGATATTCTCTCTGAGAACACAAGGTTAGAGAGTTGGTGTTTTTCTTTCTGGCTTTATATGGGATTTGATGTTTTGTGCTTGTATGCCTCTTTCTACCTTCGAAAACTTGTCTTTTTTGAGTCCAAATAGTTGTCGATATCTGCAAAACCAGTATTCCTGTGTTAAGATGATATGAATATGAAATAGCTGCCCTGTTGTAACTTTTGACTTTAAGAAAGTGTTAAGACTAACAGGAGACAAAAAGGAAATCAAGGAAACCGAATGTCTGGTCTCAGTAACTGCTATGCCAAAGGCTCTACAGCTTATTATTAATTTTACTAATTTCACATTATTGCCCCTTCAGGTTCTTTAAGTAAGGTTAGAGGATAGAAGAAACATCATGTTGTTACAAATTGGACTATTGAGTCAGGAAAAAAAAGATTGCTTTCAATATCTGAATAAAACAAAGATTTAATATTTTCTAAACCTTAATGAGTTTATTGTAAGGGATATGACACTGGAAACTAGAATTTTTTACTAAACTGAGGATCAGAGAATTATTCATATTTTCAGCAACGGTGCCACCTGAGGGACATCTGATCTTGATTACATACCTTTATTTCTTTAACTGATCAACATACTAAATAGAAAACCTATGGCTCTGTTTTTAATCCACTTTAAATTCTGTTGTATTAGCACGGTTAGCTTTTCTAATTGGCAATAAGATTGAGACTATCTTTTTTTTTTTTTTTTTTTTTTTGACACAGACTTTTGCTCTGTCGCCCAGGCTGGGGTGCAGTGGCACAATCTCAGCTAACTTCAACCTCCGCCTCCCGGGTTCTAGCGATTCTCCTGCCTCAGCCTCCCCAGTAACTATGATTACAGGCACACCACCACGCCTGGTTAATTTTTGTATTTTTTTTTTTTTTTTTTTGAGACGGTTTAGTAGAGATGGGGTTTCGCCATGGTGGCCAAGCTGGTCTCGAACTCAGGTGATCCACCTCAGCCTTCCAAAGTGATGGCATTACAGGCATGAGCCACTGTGCCCAGAAAATACTATCTTATTTTATGAATTTAAATAACTGTGAAATTATCCACTTCAGGGAATTAATTAATTATAATGTAATCTTAAATTTTAGTTGGCTTACATAAAGACTTAAAATACATCAATTTAAATAAAAATTCATTTGTCTAAAAAAAATTAAAAATTTTCCTTGTGCTTTAAATGTGCTACCTGTTTAAGTTGTAACTCAGAGAAAAGAAGTTTAACTGTGAGTTTCATTAGTGTTCTTAGTTAACAGATTAAAGTATTTTGTAAAAAAAAAAAAATACTTCACAATTTTTACATCACTTACAAATGTTAATACCTTTTTTATTAGGTATGTTCTTTTATAGGGAAAATATATAATATATCTAATCAAGATTTTTTTTGGACAAATTGGCTTAATAATTTCATTTTAAAAATGGCTTCTTATCATAATGTAAAAATAATATTAGTATAATATTATAGTATACACAAGTTTAGGGTTCATTTTCTAAAAAACAAAAACTAATTTAATTTGAGTGTACTATATTTCTTCCACTACCTGTACTGGTGAGATGAGTTAACATCACTTTATTTATAATTTTAAAATTGTAAATTATTCATAGAACCAAATTAAATCATAATAGATAATGTCATTTGAAAAAATGGAATTAAATTTTATGTTACTAATTATAAGGATTCAATGTGTGAGCTTAAGTACTGAATTCACAATGTGTGATAACTTTAAGAATTTAGATGAATATTATTAAATTGAGTAAATTAATGATTAATCTTTGGATACCTGGACAATTTCTAAATTGGAGGGTACAAAATACAAATCACAAAAACCTGTGTAGTTTATGCAAATAACATTTTTACACAGTTTTGAATAACCATTGATAAACAGATAAGAGAACATACGATAGCCTTAGAATAGATACTCTTGCTTTTGCCACTTTAGATTTGTAAATCACATACTGTATACCTGTGGGCCTAGAGGACCATGCAGGTTTTGGATGACTGCCTCTGTT